TGGGAGTAAGCCTGTGAATTTAAGATGAAGTTTTCAAGATTCCTGCAGATTATGTGTTGTTTCATATGGCTTTAAAATGATGTGGTAATCCTGAGCTGTTGAACCATGGGCAGTTGTGAGGATTAATAAGAAAATTAACAGCATTGTTCAGGTTCTCTCCATTACTATTATTCCAGTGATTTCTAGGTATACGTGAAGCTTTAACTCTCTTATTTATGGCAAAGCCTAGGAAACAGTAGCACTTTCCTTTTTTAATGTCTTGTTTTATAAACGTCTTCATCATTCCTGGGTTTAGAAGTAGATTAAACAGGATATGGAATGACCACTAAGAATTCATAAGGGATCACCCAGACAGCCAAGGTCAGTTCTCCTGAGACCTGTTCATTTTCCTAAACACAATACACTTACTGATTTCAATGAACACCTTTTCTTTGAATTGGGGTTTACTATCATGAAAATAACACTTTATTTGTAACCATTAAAAGCAACTGGTCTCTTAATTAGAAAAATCCTATAAGACTTTGGACTTTATTATTAATTTTTAAGTATATATATTTTTAAATATTTTATTGATTTCAGAGAGGAAGTAAGAGGGAGAGATAGAAACATCAATGATGAGAGAGAATTATTGATCAACTGCCTCCTGCATGTTCCCCTACTGGGGGATCGAGTCCACAATCCAGTCATGTGCCCTGGATCAGAATCTAACATGGGACTCTTCAGTCTGCAGGCCAATGATCTATCCACTGAACTAAACCAGCTAGGGCAGAACTTTATCTTTAAATATAACAAAAGCTCACATAAGTTTTGGAGCTTTAGTTTATATAATTTTGCTCAGCTCTCACTGTGTTTTATAAATTGAGAGTTACTCTTTTTTAAAAAAATTGATTGATTTGAGAGAGAGAGAGAGAGAGAGAGAAGCATCAATTTGCTATTCCATGTATTGATGCATTCATTGGTTGCTACTTGTATGTACCCTGACTGAGATTAAACCTGCAACCTTAATGTATCAGGATGATGTTCTAAGCAACTGAGCTACTCAGCCAGGGCAAGAAGTTACTATCTACAGCACCAAGTAATCTATATATATAAAAGCTTGATATGCAAAGAATCCCCTCCGGAATTGGACCAACTAGGAGTTCAATCACTCGCTATGACATGCACTTACCACCAGGGGGCGGCATGGAATGAAAGGAGGCCCTGGCCAGCAGCTGGGGAAGGGAGACCCCAGCCGGCAGCCACTAGGGACCCTACCTATGCACAAATTTTGTGCAGTAGGCTCTAGTCTATTATAAAAACCTGTAATGGAGTATATTTTAGACATCTTATTGTATTTTTATAAGGATAATAAAGAAAAATCTCATGAGTTTTTTTTCCTCAACCTTTTTTTTTTTTCTCTAGCCAAATAAGAGTCTAAGTTTACATTGTTTTTCTAGGTTTTTATCATCAAAATATTTCCTGCAGAAATAATGCCTTAAACTTTTGGAAATGTCACCTGTAAAAATCATTTGTTAATTTGGTGATTTTGTGTTTATTTTACAATACTCTGCTTTATGTGGGAAGTATATTAGTGTTAGTAGTTGCTATGGCTCATACCTTCATATATTCAACACCTTCAAGTTGTTCATGTTGAAAACTGTGTAAAGTACTTTTTCGGGTGCTTTGGAACCCACAGTCTACAACTGGGAATGGTATTTGCTAGCTCCTCCACAATGAGTAATAACAGCCCATCCGGCCTCCATCAGGCTGCTGGATCCTAAGACTTGCCCGCCGTTTCTGTGTGTACACAGACCGTGTGGATGCCTTTCTCTTTAAGATTTAGTTGTTTGCTAGAAATTGGGCTTTTGAGTTTTGTCGGGTCTTTGTACTCCTCGTTTGAAAAATATTTAAATGATATTGCCCAAAGGGCACACAGAGAAGCAGCGTGACTAGCTTTCGGGAAATTAGTAAGCAGCCGAGTTATTTTTAGCTTCTACTCTTTGCAAACATTTCCTTTTGTTCTTTAGAAGACATTGTTGATCTGTTCATTCATTTGCTGTGCCCTCTCCCCCACTGCAAGATGGCTTTAGATAGAATAAGCCTTCTCTTCTCCACTCTGCATGACATAACTGTGTTAATTCTTACTTTATTCAATTTTAACTCATGACTTATTCATTTGCTCATGTTTTTCTAGGCTCTGAAACACCATCACCAACACCAATACACACATGCTTTTTTTGTTGTTATTTGAGGTTGGTTTCCTCCCTCATCTGCAAATATTAACTGAAAAATATTCACACAAGCAGCATGTACAAAATTTATATTTTTATCAAAAAATTGTCTAGTGGTAGCTGATAGTGTGAGTTTGTCTTTATTTGCTGTTAGTACTTAGTTTGAAACTGTAATCTTTAGAAAATTATGCAGCTCAGATTACAGATTACCAGTCCAGAATAGAAGCTAACAAAGGCTGGCATTTGCATGTCAGCCTCATGTCTGGTCTTTGAAAAATCTTCCAGCACATAGAGGAAGTCAGATTTCTACGGAAGTGCATTGAAACCACATGTACTCTTCACATAAAGGCAAATTTGATATGATTTTTCTACTTTAGATCCGTTTCAAGAACACTTATTTATATTATAACATTATAGCTTACCCTCCTATTTTTCCCATTTTTCCCCCTATTAGACAGGAGGCATTAGAGCATTTGTGGTTAAAATTGCGGGTTCTGGAGTTAGACCACATGGTTTCAAATCCTAGTTCTCCTGTTAATCGCGGTATGCCTCAATTTCCTTATCTCAGACATGGCGATTACAGCATTTCCTTCATACACTTATTTTGGAATCTAAATCAGATACTACATGAAAAGGACCTAGCATAATGCCTGACATGTAAAGTCTCAACAGATGTTGACGGTTATAATTATTGTATATGCTTATTTTATCTAAATGTAGGATCAGTTTTTCTTTTTTTCTTTTTTCTTTTTTAGAATATTATATACGAAACAGAGGCAAAATACTCTGTTATCTGGAACCCTTTCTCTGTAAGAGTTTTTTATTGGGATGTCCTCTAACATAGGTGGCCCATTCCAGCAACCCAGTGATTTTAGTCTCCTTTGGCCCTTTAGGATTTGCAGCTTTTCATATCTAGGATCAGCACAATTATAATGGGAAGTCAAGCAAAACATTTTTTGCATAAAGAGAGGAAGGCAGAATGTGAGTTGGCGTTGACATCTGCCCTGGGCCAAAAGCAGAATGGTGATTGCTGCTGATTCGGCATTCCATCTGCTCCCTTCGCCAGCCCCTCTTCCTTTCCCTTCCCTTTAGAGCCCCAGAGATGATGAAGTCAGGGAGTGAAGACTGGGATCTAAAGCTTGTGAAGAGAGGAGCCAGATAGAGTTGCAGGGAAAGACAATAGAAGGATAACTCCCCCCACCCTGGTAACCCCACTGGGAAAATGCAGAAACTCCGCTGCCAGTGGCAATTTTACACAAGTTCTTTGGATGGAGCGAAGGTTAAAAAAGACCAGCCTGTTCTAGTCAAGTCCCAGCTCTCTGCTCAGGAGCTTTTCTGACATCAGATTCAACAATTTACTAAACTTGCCCTAAAAACAACAACAACAACAGAAACCTTTATTTTTAACTCTTAGCCAGAGCTTTCAGAAGTACTTTATTTTTACGAGGTGTCATTACAAGAAACATCCCAACCTGGAGAGAATTTTTATGAGTTTATTTGAGCCAAACTGAAGACTTGCCGGAAAGCAAGGCCTCAAATGTTGCCTGCCAATGACAGCTCTGAAGTTCTTATGTTTGGAATTGAGGGAAGTGAGGGAGATTCCATGAGGGTGGGAAGTCTCTATAATTACATTACAGGGTGGTTAAAAATTGTGTGCTCTCTTGGTGGTGGTTTTCAGAGAAGCCTGGAAAAGAGGCATTTCAAAGGTGCATTAACCTAGATACACAGAAACAATGGACGTGGCTTGCTTAAGGCAAAGAGAACCTTTTACTAGGGAAGTTATAGGCCTGGGGCATGACTACCCACCTTGACCTGCCCAGTTAAGGAATCATTCTGTGAGGTTACATTCGGTCACTGACTTATTATAGCACCCCTTTTTCATTCACAGAAGGATGCTTTAACTTCTGAATATATTCTTTGTTTCTCCTTTCTTCAGCCTCATTTACCTCACCCCTCTTGCCAACTAATACACAGCCTAACTCCCACGGAAGTGACATCTCGTTTTATTTTTTAAATTTGTTTTAAAAGTTTTTTATTGCCTGGCCAGTGTGGCTCAGTGGTTGAGCATCTACCTATCAATCATGGTTCGATTCCCGGTCAGGGCACCCATGTGGGTTTTGAGCTTAGTCCCCAGGGAGAGGGGAGTAGGGGGTGCAGGAGGCAGCGGATCAATGACTCTCTTTCATCATTGACGTTTCTGTTCCTCTCTCCCTCTTCCTTCCTCTCTGAAATCAATAAAAAGCAATAAAAATGCCTGGCCAGGGCAGTGGGTGGCTTCTTATTTTAAGGTAACATCTTCTACCTAATCTGAGAGCTACAATTCAGACTTTCTATAAACATGGTTTTCTTAGACACATTCATTTGAAGTTTAGAACATAAAACATCACACATACACAAAGGGTATCAGTCTGTAGTGCTGTAATTTAACTCTTTACTTGATTTTAATTAAAACCTAAGTAGTTAAGTAATAGAGAAAAATTAGTTTAGAAATCAGCAGAAAGATCTTGATTTTTTTTCTCCCCCGGTTATGATTTTTGGATAATTGTTCCATGTTTGTTTATGATTCAAAATTAATATAGAGTATTAGGGGTTATTTTTTATGCTGCTTGGCTGCCATGTTTTATTTTCATTTAATTTTAAGGTTTTCTAAGCCTTCATTTAAAGGGCTGGTGGACTCTGATTCTGACTTAAGTTTTAGAGAATTTTCTTTATAGGTAATTCTCCACCTATTTGTTTTTTATCTATTGTGGTTGTTGTTTTTAAAGAAAGACCTCTATGTTTACTTTCTAGACTGACTTTGCACGATTTAGTGGAACAAATGTGGAAACTGACTTTGTGGAAGTGCCATCACAAATGCTTGAAAATTGGGTGTGGGACATTGATTCCCTCCGGAGACTGTCAAAGCATTATCAAGATGGGAGACCTATTATGGATGATCTGCTTGAAAATCTTGTTGCTTCCAGATTGGTCAACACAGGTATGACTTGTAATTTTAGAAAAGGAAAACAAACTAGAATTGCTAAATAGGGAATTGCTAGTGTCGTCTATAGAACTGTTTCCCCTTTAAATAATAATAGCAACCCCCCCACACACCTCCAGTGCTAATGTGGGAAGACCACTTACTACGTTGCAATACTGAACCCTGAGATTATTTCCAAGAAAAAGATACATCTACTTTTCCATCTTTTTATTATTATTATTATTATTATTGATTTTTTACAGAGAGGAAGAAAGAGGGATAGAGAGTTAGAAACATCGATGAGAAAGAATCATTGATCAGCTGCCTCCTGCACACTCCCTATTGGGAATGTGCCCGCAACCAAGGTACATGCCCTTAACCGGAATCAAACCTGGGACCTTCCAGTCCGCAGACCGACGCTCTATCCACTGAGCCAAACTGGTTTCGGCTACTTTTCCATCTTAAATGAGAGGTTTTGCTTCCATTTTGTAATGAGTACTACAGGAATCACTTTTGAAATCTATGATCTTGTGCTAGTAGAACACAGAGTTCTCTCTTCTGCAAAACATGCCCAAACATTCTTATGTCATTAGGTCTCCTGACCCTACGCCAGATTGTTCTGAGCAAAGTTGATCAGGCTCTCCACACCAACGCATCGCTGGATGCTGCAAGTGAATATGCCAAATGCTGCACAGAAATCTTAGGGGTTGCGGCTACTCCAGGTATGTAAGTTCTGTCATTCTGACCTGAGCTCATTTTTCCCATGCAGCACAGGGCATGCTCCTCATGCTGGCAGGGAAAGGGGCTTGTCAGGCAGAATGCCTTGTGCACTTTGTTTCTCCTTTCTGTCATCCGGCCAGGACTCTCAGACTTTCACATTCTGAGTTGTCCTGTCCAAATGTGCTTGAAGGAAAGGTGGCTCCAGCTTTTGCAGGGTTTTAGGGTAATCAGGCATGAGCAATTGGCCTCCACCCCAGAGCGCAGAGAGCCATTCACACTTGGCAGCTCCCACCCGGCTCCTCCCTCCCTGCCTGTGTGCACCAGGCTGCCCCATGATTGCAGTAGGAAACGAGGGGGGGGGGGGTGCAGTTTTAGAGAGAAGCACGTCTTCTGCCTTGTCTCTGACTCTGACATCAGCTTGACTTAGCACCTCTGACCTAATACCTAGATGATTCATGCGGGCAGGTGGATAGCTGTACACATGTGTGTGTTTACATTTATATTATGTATGTTTAAAGCCAACATGTAATTCTACCTATATGTAGTTGTTGGGAAGGAGTCTTTCCCACCAGTAAGTTGCTATTGAAATGAATCTGTCATCATTACAGAGATGACGAAGTTCAGAACAGTCAGTAGAGTCTAAGCTCCTCGCTTCCTTTTGTGGCCTGTTTATAGTTGACCCTACATCGACTGTGCCTGGGGCCCCTTGGACAAAATCCTTGTGAAAGTATCCCTAGAGGTAAACGGAATTGTTAAAAAATAAAAAAATAAATGAATAAATAAATAAATAGATAACCTTTTTAGCTTTTCGAGTAAAGAGTTCATGTTCCATAACTATGAACCTAGTAAGTGCCGTTCTGACACGTTTTAAATATAAAGACGTGACAACGAATAGGCTTCCTAGTCGAGTGTTTGTAAGACACGTGTGTGTCTAAGGGAGAAGAAAGGATGGAGGGATTCTCTCTGAAACACTGAGCTCTCTGATGGGCGTGGTCAGAGCCTCTGAAACTACCTTAAGCATTCCAGAGCTTAGGGCCGAAACCAGCTCTGAGGTTGAGCCATCCCTGGAGGGAAGTTTGTAAACATCTTGACCCAGGGCACAAGGAAGCCCAGTTCCTATTGGAGGTGAAATCCCATCCCTCCTCCCACAGCGGGGCTCCCCTGGGCAGGAAACCTTAGCCCATCCGATAACTGGTAATTAACATTGACCACGGCATTGATTGAAATGTATCTTTCCCTAAAGGCACGAACATGCCAGCTACTTTCGGACATTTAGCGGGGGGATATGACGGCCAGTATTATGGATATCTCTGGAGTGAAGTGTTTTCCATGGATATGTTTCACAGCTGTTTTAAAAAAGAAGGAATAATGAACCCAGAGGTATAGTACTTTTTTTTCTCCTTTTGTTAATTTTAGTTGCTTTCTCCCCTTTCATTCCTAGTGTAAAATATGTATTACACCTAGGTTTTAGAGTAAGAGATTTGGTAACAGCTTTTAACTTAAAAGTCTTGCATCTCCTTAAATCATCACACTTCAAGTTGCAGCACACAAGTGATTAACTCTAATTCTATATGTTTAAAAAAAAAAAAAGCCAACTGCACTTTCTTGCTTATTAACATTCCGATATATTGCATAATTAAAATGGAAAGCTTTGTTTGTGCATTTGCACATTTATCGCTGCTAGTTTTGACATGTGCCACATGGTGCTTTAGCTTTACGGGTCATTGGGAAAGAAAACCAAACTCCTTCCTGACACAAATGGTCTGTTTATGTTTTGATACTCTCTGCGCACTTTCCTTATACATTTTCTGTGGGAGGTGGCCTTTTTCTGCGACCGGCATCCCCCACCTACTGCATAGTTTGTAACCTGAGTGCCTTTACGTAATTTAAGCTGCCTCATTAACCTGAGCCGCTCCTTTCTGTGTACAACGAGTGGACTGCCAGGTGGCTGCCAGCCAAGCCTTCCTGAGTTACAGTCCCCCGGTCTCCAGTCTTGCCGAAGAGTCAGCTGTCAGATTTGTTCTAGGGCTGATGCATTTTCCACTCTGTTTTTTTTTTTCCCCCCTTCATTCTGTTTGATCCAGAAATTAGAAGAAACAAATTATCAAAATCAGACTCTCTGTGCCTATTTCAGCTAGCGATTTGTTCCTCAAACGTCCTGTTTCTGGGTTGCATAGTGCCTTACATGTATACACTGAAATACATTGATGTGATTCCTCCCGTTTCCCCACCACCACCACCACCACCACCACTACCACCACCACAAATAATAATAATAATAATAATAATAATAATAATAATAATAAAACCCACCTCCTGGATACCTACATTCTATACACTAGCCTTTCCAATCACTCTGTCTTCCACCCTCCCCTACCCAAGCTGTGAGGTCCCTTTAAGTCCCCTTCATTCCTGAGCCAACCCGTTTACAATGGCCGTGGTCAACCATGGACGGCTGTTCTCATAAATGTCCTGACTTCAGCATGACCTTCAGCCAGTGCCCAGCCCTAGATTCCTCGCCGTGTCATTTAGACACAGTGCCCTTGGGGTTCAGCGTGTTCTGGGGAAGATCGGATGACTCCATTAGCATGGCCATCTACACAGTCGTGCTGTCCAACCGAACTGGACACCAGTGTCGCTCTGCAGCCCCACTCCACTCCTTCGTTGAGTTCTGTCTCCGAAGGGATTCCTCTAACACTAAGCCTTCCTGGTTTGCATCTTGGAAAATATCTGGGGTTATTGCTGTTAGCTCTGATAAACTCAGGTGTTCTTTCTTGCACAGTCTAACTTCTTAGTGTAAGAAACAGCCTTTGCAAACCTATTTCCAGCTTTTGCCTCCACCCACTGAACTGGAAAGTTATCCTCTCTCAGGAGTTACCAAGGATGACCCAATTGGCAACCTTTAAAGACCCTTGTCTACCTTTTTGATTTTTGTAACTTCTTGCTTCTTGTTATTCCTCTCTTTGGTCACAGCCCTGAGGTTAGCAATCAAATTCCTTCCTTCCCAGAACCTCCTGAGTTCCTATAAGTCTTTCCCCTTTCACAAATATATTCATTCTATTTCTTCCACCTAAAAGGTATGCCTTACTTGCCTGTACTTTTCAAAAAACATTCTTAAAAACCCTACTCAAATGCCCACTCACTTATGAAATCTTCTAGATCATCCAAACCAAAGTGATCTTTTCATCCTATGAACAGTAGAGTAGACTTGGGCATGAGGGAATAATTTCAATAAGCTTTTTCTTGTGTCTGTATTGTTTAATGCAACTATTATACAAAGTGAAAATTTTGGATAATAAAATATTTTATACCAAAGGGTGCAAATTTTTATTTTAAAATTAAAATTCATATTTATATTTGGGGGGGAAAGTACTAGAAAATGTTGTCAATTGTTATCTCTGGGTGATACATTTATGAGTGATTGTTAAATAGTTTTCTATACTCTTATGGAACTTTTTCTTTTTTTAAAACTGTATTTTTATTGACTTCAGAAAGGAAAGAGAGAAAGAGAGATAAAAACATCTGTGATGAGACAGAATCATTGATGGAGCTGCCTCCTGCATGCCCCATACTGGGAATTGAGCCCGAATGTGCCCTGACCAGGAATCAAACCATGACCTCCTGGTTCATAGGTCCGTACTCAACCACTGAGCCACACCAGCTGGGCTGAAGCTTTCTCTTATTTTTCCATAGAACATAGATGATTGTAGAAACCAGAGGGCAATATTTAAAGAGACATAGGTGCAAATATATAAAGGCACAATTATGACCTCTTACAGGCTCTTTGTTGGTGAGATTTCCTGACATAAGTGACTGTACCTCTTTCCATTAAGTGTCCTCATTCATCTCCTCTGTGCTTCCTCTCACATGAGCACATTCCAGTCCCCTCCACTGTTACCCAGTCTCCTCACCTGTCAAGGGAGCAGCCAGAGTACAAAGTACTGATCCCAGTGGATCCCAGGGAACTTGCAAGTCTAACAGAAGCAATCCTGCCCTTAGGTTTCCAAACTTACTCCAGTTCTCAAGCTCCACAGCTTGGCAGGCAGCCAGACTGTTCTCAATTTAAATAAAAGGGCTGGACTGAACTTGGAGAAAGCAAAATTCCCAGCAACTCGGACTTGTTTCCTTGTGATGTTAAAAACTTATTTTAGTTTTACTAAAAGTTTGGATTCAACAGTGCTATTATTCCTGCCACAAATCTGGATTTAATCCCTTCTTTTTTCCTTTCCTTGTAAATGTGACTCCAGTGTCCAATAAGATTCCCTTTTCACCCCACCCTCACACTCTTTTGTGGGACAGCTTTTTACATAGCCATTTTATTCCCTCCTATAGTGTACTGTTTATTTGGGTAAGGTTTGTTGTTGTTTTTTTGTTTGTATATATTTTTTATAAATGTTTGCTCTAAAATAACACCTGATTTACAAAATTCAAATATCCACCATTCATTAATAGGGTTCTACAAAAAAAAACTTAAGTCATTATTATCACTACCGTGTTGTGATGAAGATACAGAATTTTTATGGGAATCAGAGTTGTCACAGTAAATCATGCAGACCTCATTTGCCCCAGGCCCTCGCCCTCCCCCACACATATTTTGATTTTGAGGAGATAGCGGGTTGGCCTTTCAAGCAGTCCATAATACTTGGTCCCCATGCTTATCATGATTTGTTGACCTGATTGGTCACGGTCATTGGTATCAACAAAAGCACGCCTCCGGGTCTTCTCTCCGTAACCTCTTGCCATCCCGCAATGCCCAGCTTTGGCTCTGAGAACCATTGCAGTTCTTAGCGAGCAGAACTGCAGAAAGGGCACCACTTCCTGGGAAATCAGCAATAGGAGGATCCAGTATACACCTGGAGTCTCCTGAATACCAGATGGTGGCAGTGGGATATTTTATGGTACAGTCGTCTCTGTTCTATTTTGTGGGCTTCTATCAAAGTGTTGGAACTGGCCACTTATCTATATTAGACTCTTTCTGTTTGCTATCTCGGTGTATTTTTTCTCTAGTTTTTTTTTTTTTTTTTTTTTTTTTTCCCACATAAAAAATAGAACATTTTAACTGTTAAACTGGTTTGCTAAATGTTTTCTAAAGTTTTTGTTTCTAGCGGAAAACAGAGAAGTCTCATTATCAGACGTATCTTTTCCTTCCCCAGCTGGCCTCTTAAATAACTGGAAGTGCTTGAGATGGACACTTTCCCCGTCAGTTCTGAGAGCTCTTGAAGGGTATCAGTAAGGTCACCAAATGTAGTTTCAAAATCCGGCAGCTAATCATAGGGTTGAAAATATGGGAGCTTTTAACGAGGGCCATTTCTTTTTTTTAAGGCAATTTCACCGTGGGGAAATTTCCCTCAGAAGCCGTAGATTGTGGATTCAAAGGCAATTATATTGTTAAACTAGAATTATCTTCCTCCTCTCTTGCAGTCAGAGAAATTGCTAAGCTTTTTATTTTTTCCCAATGAAGAAGAAATGGCAATCAAGTATCGCCGCATAAAGGAATACCAAGAAAACCGAGATAAAGTGTAGCTATTACATTTAATGCGTAATGCCCCAAAGAAGCAGCTATAGCTTACATCCAGTAATAGACCAGACACAGAAACATGAAGAATCTTGGTGAAACATGAAAAACAAGGACCTGGCAGAAAACGTGTGCTGTAAGGCTAAACATCCCAGTGCTTTCCAAATAGAATCCTAAGCCGAATTCCTGCTGTGATTTGTCTCGAAGGGAGAATGGGAAATTTCCCCTCCGACAGGATTCACCGGTGGATTAATCTCTGCTTTAGCTCTCCTAATCTACCCCCCAAAACTGATTCTTCTTACAACTCAGCCTTTTCTGAGTTTTTGCCCGGTTTAAAGGACAAAGGAAGGAAATAGGATTGATTTCCAACCTGCTTCTTGAATATTTACAAGGCCAGGCCTTGTAAGTCCTGAATCCCAAACAGCTAGAAGCAGTTTTTCTTCCTTTGTGTTCTTACAGCCCTCCTTTTGTGTTTCTCTGAGAGTCCTAATAATCTGCCTTGTTAATTCCCCATTTCTTTATCTTACCTTGTAACTGGAGCTGTTCTATTCAGCTGTGCCTTTGTCCTCTGCTTCAAACCTGCTACATTTAATTAGTACTGTTATGAATGGGCACCTCTTGGGATCTAACCCGCAGTTCTTAGCCTATCTGCTTGCATTCCTCTATCCCCCTGACACATACTCCTCTCCAGGGGACCTTTTTGCTCCTGATCTCCTCCCTCCCCTTAAATAAAGATCTGTCCTTCTCGCCTCACCAATTGGAACTTTGCTTCAGGTTTCCAGAAGGCCGCTTCTAGTCAAGGAAGGATTCCTGCCACTGTTCTTGTTTTTATCCCCTTGACGACCAGCACCAATCTTTCACTCTC